TGGGAGTGAGAAGAGGTAGTGGACGGTTGAGAAAGATGGTTTTCCAAATGGGTTTCTAAGACTTTTGGGCACGGTACACTTTGCGGTTACCCACACCGACTAGTTTTTTGGGGAGCCCTAACCGGAGCCTCCGACCCAAAAGTCTGACCTACAAGGCAGTGGGGCGTAAATCCACTTCGATTGCTTCAACGAAGCACCCGTGTGGGAATTTCTGTAAACCTGTCACTTAGGGCCTTGGAATTTCGTTTCAGCGTTTTGTTCGCTGGTGCGTTGGTCGACGGTTCGCTTTGCAGGATCAGCCCTTGGCCTCATGTACCCAATGAGACAAGCGGGAAGTGGAGGGGCAGCACTTTATTGTCTGAGGGCTGCTCAATTTGGGCGGGCGGTAGTTTTCCAGTGAATTGCAGCCTTCCCCCACGTTCCTACGTCCATCTATCGGGGGGGGGGGTGTGATGGGGAAACTGTCCCTCATGTTTGCTGTTGGAGTGACCGCTCCAGGGACTGTAGTGGATGGTCAAAGGAAACCAGATGCCCAAGCAGCTGGCCTTGTGAGACTGTTCTTCGTCTGACCTCTGCCCATTGATCTTTCAGGCATGATTGCACCTGCGGCTGTGAGGAGCCATCTTGCATAGCTCGCAGGATCATGGAGGCACGCAAGCCATCACACCACGCCAAGGTGCAGTCTCGTCGTGATGGCATATATATATATATATTTAACACGTAGTCAATTACATAGAATTGGCAGATGTGCCACAACGTATGAATAAAGATGTGAAAAAAGGTTTAAATGTAAATCAACGAATAAGAGTCTCGCAACGGGTGCGCCATTGACGCCGGTTACTAGCCATGTCTGCAAGTGTAACAAGGGGATGGTTGAAGTAGGGTCTTGTATACGTGTTTCGGAGACACAGCATACATCTAAATTGAACGTTTCAAGGGTTCTAGCTAAAGCTGCTCGTTGACCGATCTGGTAGAGTGTGCGGACATTAAATGCGGCTAGGTGAAAAAGAGATTTTGGTTTCAAAAACCTGCATGTTTCTGGTTGATTGACCTTACTAGTTGAACGCTGCTTGATATCCGATGGGTGGCGCAAAAAGGAGACATCTCCTAAGGTTTGGGAGTGAGAAGAGGTAGTGGACGGTTGAGAAAGATGGTTTTCCAAATGGGTTTCTAAGGCATACTTTGCGGTTGCCCACATAGACGAGGGTGTTTCTTTGTGGGAAGCTCGTTGAATCCTGCTTTTTAATTCTTGCTGTCTATTGGAGTATTAGTCTTATCGGCCTGAAGACGAATTTGGTTCATTCATTCATCTTTTAAGCCATATTTTCAAGGGGTTTCCGCTGTAACAAATTGCTATGAGGCGCGGCTTTTATTTTGGATTCCAATACGCTTCGTTTGATAATACTTTAATGTTTGGTTCACTGGTGGACGAAGTGGTGAACTTTCACACGCAACAAAATGAAAGTTGTTTCTCGGAGAATGCTCCATCCTTTGTTTTTTGTATTAACGTTAATGCCAAATCACTGAATATGTTCAGTCTCGTTCATGAAACGGTTAAGGGGTACATTCTCCTCCATGTTAATTTCGCTTCATCCTACAGTTTTCTTTGGCCATTTGTCTCGAGATCTGTAAAGCTCCTGGCGACGGATTTGTTTATCTTATTGCTCTTAGATTATAGTATATCGGTTTATGTCGAGTTACTTTTCTCTCTCACTCAGCTGTTGGATGTTTAAGATGTTGGAAGACTACTTCCGAATCTGTCTCATAGGTTTAACATAGGATAATAAATCACACTACCTATAAGTAGGCATGTATACACACTGAAATAAAACGACTTGACGAGCACGTCGTGGTGTGTTGATCGGTTGACGAATCACTGAAAGCAGGCTAGTTGGCTGTATTTTTTCCCTGTTGATTTATAAGATGAAAATATTAAGCGTTATTCTCGATGTTAAATAGTCTTTAATTCATACTAATCCATTAGCAACACGCATGACGTAATGCATAGACTCCAGTCTACCAGTTCATTTCAACTTATAATTTGTTTCAGGTGAAATTTTGATTAAAAAATAATTAACTGCTAATTTGGTTCATGATTGCGTGGTTCTCTTATCACGACTTGCGATCGATTGTCTAGTCAGATAATTGCCTTGGAGTTTGCCTTACCACCCTTTATATCTGTTATTGTGTTGTTCATGTGCTTTTACCAACTCGGGTTTGAATTCTGTTCTTGTTTTCAGGGTTTTGTCGATGAATTTTTTCAGTGAAGTTGTTGACCGTCTACCCCATTGTTCTGAGATAACCTGAGATTAACATGAAATTTCAAGTTATTATTATCATATTTCACACACTTCTGACTCCAGACTATGTGCCAAACAAATCGTGGTACAATAATCTCTATGAAAAGAAAAAAACCTTCCATGATTGGCTTATGGGCTGAATACTGCCAGGTTGCCCGGGCCAAGGCAGGTAAATATTCTTGAGGAATCCACACCCGGAGCCTTTGGTTAGCCAAAGCCTGATCCACAAGGCAGCGGGGCGGCTTGTAAACCGCAATCCATTGGGAGCCGGTGTCCAGTTCATCGGATCATACGCCCTTCGGACGGGGTTAAACTTCTAAGGTGCCCAATAAACTTTGATGCCCGATTGAGCCGGTGACCATTACCACAACCGAAAAGGTGTGGGTGTGGTTTGTACGCCTCCTCTTGGTTGGTTTGGAATCAGGGTTTTTGGCCAACTCCCCTAGGTGAACTACCACCAACCCGGTTATTTCCCCGGATATCGGCTCTTCGTCCTCTCTCTGTGGTGGGAAAACATTTCCACCACAGGGAAAAGCAGTGAGTAGGACTTCCTCAGCAGATGCTGTTTGAGACACTTGGTCATATGGAAGCATTTCGCCAGATACAAGGGAAGGTTGACCAGCCGAAACCCTGGACACCCACCCCCGACCATCATTAGAATTTCCGAGCTCTAGTCCCTTTAGGGCACCAAAAATTAAGCAATGCTGACCAGTCCGTCAGCTGTCCAGTGCTTTTTATCAGCCATTCCACGAATTAGCGTATCAATAATTTTTATTTATTTGATGTTACCTCGTTCGTTCATTCGTTAGTTCATCAGTCGAAAATATTGCCAATTGTTCCTTTAAGATTCTTGGTATCCATATCCGGAGGCATATTGGTCGGTAATGCAGTATTGACGACAAAAGTGAAACCATACAAACAAACTAATGAATAGCAGTGACCACTGGTAAACAAGCGTTACATATGCTCTGTTTTTCATATAGTTTATCAGTTTTCTCTTCAATTCACGTCCTTCATTTGTTTATTTTTAGGTGAAATGTATCCGCGACAAGGATACATCCCTTCCCCGTTTGCGAGTAAGCCAAAGAGTTATTTCTCGCGGATTTTGATTCCGGATGAACGTTCTCGAAGCGGTCAGACACCACACAGTTTGAAACGTCCGCTTTCAGGCGTAGATTCATTCACCTCTCCACATGAAGCCAAGCGCCATTTATCCCGGTCATCGGCAGTTTCACCTCATCCAAGTCACACTGTCAAAAGTCGATTTCCGACCTTGTTTGATTTCCAACCTGATCCCGGCTATTCCTCAGCAGTATTAAAACGACGTTTACATCCGACGAACAGCCAACGGACAAAAACAAAACCTGTACAAACACCTACGGAACCGGTGGTTCACTCAAAGGAGACATTCGAGCGTGCACTCCGCATGCTGGATTCCAAGAAACGCTCACCGTTGCATTTAGACACGAATTTCTCTCCCTCATCCGATTCACGCACACCAGAGTCCTCAGCTGAACAAGGTTCAAAACGCCGTCGAGTCGTAGTGGATGTGGCCTCAGTTGGTTCAACAAAAGAGAATGACGGATTTCAGTACACTTCTCTGGATCAGCTAAAGCGAAATCCCTTACATACCGAACCTGTTAAGTCAACTCATCTGGTGGATAAAAATGGTCATTGTTCTTCACCCATACCTGTACAACCAGTTATAAATGTTGGGACTTCATCATTTCAGTCTACCGCAAACACACCTGTCCGTGAGGTTCATACCCCTTCAAGCGGAACTCCTAGATCTGCATCCGCTGTAAGACGGCTGATTCCGTATCTATCACCAGCCGAGCTAGATGCGTTGTTCTTTGGAAATAATGATAGAAATGATCAAGATTCTGTTGATGAAATCTCGGATGGCGAGCTAGAATTTTGTGCCATTCCTAACTTAAAGCCTCACCAACCGTCTTTTCGAGAGTCACTTAGTGTCAAGCCGGAAGACCTGTCAAAGAACTCAGATGCCCCAACGGATCAGCAACCAACCGTAACTTCCGAAGCAAGCAATTCCCCTTGCTGTGAGTCAGCCAGAGATTCTCACACTGTTCCCCGCGTGGGTTCAGTTGCTCGTTTTATTGCAAATTTAGAAGCACGGAGCCGGAAACCAAGTCCATTGGCGGGATCGACTTCACTCAGTCGAACAAACCATTCGGGCTCCTTTCACTCTGTTATTTCATGCCGTTCACCATCCGAGGTTAACTCGCGAGTGAATCGAATACGTCAGTTGTTGTCGGCGCAGGTAGACCGGGGCACAAACATGCCACTTGGTGGTTCTACCTCAACGGCGTTTTCCTCAACTCTGACCACTATCAATACAACCTCTTCGGCTGTCAGCTCAGCGAAAACTGATAGTACTTCGTCAACACCCTCTGTTTCCCTGCCCTTAACACTGGGATTCAAGCCTGTGTTAAGCACCACCATCAATACTATACCAAGCACATTGTCTACCAGTAGTCCGACGATTGCTCCAAATACCACTGCGGTTGGTTCAATAAGTGCATTACCCACAACCAGTTCAATAGCTTCGTTTGTCTTTCCTGTTGGTTCAACTAGTAGCCCGTCCTTTGGAGCTCCTGTAACAGCCACTTCTACCAGTTCAACCACTACAGCATCGGCAGTTCCAACAGCGGTCAATAAAATGACAGAGTCTTTGACTACGGCGTCTACGTTCGGTTCGATAAGTGTTCCTTCCACAACAAATACACCGTCTGATACAGCGGTTTCTGCCACAACTACTGGGTTTCCAAGCTTTTTATCGTCTACTGCAACTACAAGCTCCTCGAGCTCAGGTAATTGTTGATTATGGCTATTTATATACTCGATGGTGCACTTATGGTTTGATGACACGTCTGTTAAATTTCATTTCATAGGCAACCACGAAGCTAAATTACTCTTGCATTTATTTCTATTTTAAGGAATATATATGTATATATTGTCTTGCATGGGTTTAGACTGTGTGAGACAACTATTCTTATGACGATTATTGCATATTTTGCACCCATATTATGTACCAAGTAAATCATTGTATTATAGTCTTCAAATAATGAAAAGTAATTTATGATTTGTTTTTGGACATAGTACTCCCAGACTGCCAAAACCAAAACAAGCTGTTTTCCTCAGATGTTTAACTACCGGAACCTTCAGTTACTCACGGCCTGACCCGCAATGCACCAAGGCTGCGGTGTGAAGATCGTAGCCCTCAGAGTACTGGTGTACAATCAGTTGCTCCTCACATCCTTTAGACACTGTTCACACACCTAAGGTATCCAATGGACCCTATGCAGCTGGCGGTCATTGCGGTCAGGATTTTAAATGAAGTTTTTATAAATCCTCTGAATGAGCCAGCTGGCTCCCCGTAGCTCATCAAATCTGCTACAGCCCCAAATCTTGTCTTTTTCGTCGTCTCTACTGGAATCGCCCTCATCCAGTAGTAGGATCTCCCAAAATTGCTTTCATTGATACACTTCTTGAAAGCGTTTATTGGGCCCGAAAATAAGGCCTCGTCCACCCTCGAAGAAAGTGGAAATCTTTGGATGTAATAATGATACCGTTATCAGGGCAAATATTGATGGCCTCTTACTGTAATCACTTTGAGCAGTAGGTAAACCCCAAATCATTTTTTTCTTGTTCAGGGTAATTCCAGCGCTTAGTCGCTAACCGACGCCCATCTGTGTGGTGAAATTAACGCTCGATCAAATAATGCAGGTTAGAATATGTGATTAGGGAAGACGCTACGTTAAAGGATATATATATTTTTTCATACACACCTGAGTTCAGACTGTGTGCTAAACCAATCACAGTACACTCATCTTGGGTTAACTCCAGGGCACAATATTGGTAGGTTGCTCTGGTCAAAGCAGGTGAAATAAAAAGTGAGTTTCATGCTCTGATCAAAGTTACACATTTCTAAGTACAACCTCGGTTGGAAGTTACTACTATTAATGTATTTGCAAACATATAACTAAGAAACAGCTCAATTCGCGGGATTCCGCCTGGTCTGAGTCGTGCGTGTGTTTGTGTTGATGTGTGTTGGGGGGGGGGCTTTGGTCTTAAGGGAGTCATGCGTTTTCCCATTGCTAGTGTTAGTTTAATATGGAGATAGATGGCACTGGTCTGTATTGCATATCTTCGGTTTCTATCGGGGCTCAGCTTTGGCTTTATTGTCCTTTCTGTTCTCCAGTCTTTCACTAACTAATCCGTAGTGCATCTCATATCCGAGACATCAACCAAGGATAAATCATTTACTGGTCCCTTTCTGTCTGCATTCCCGTATTTTCTCATGTATGACCACGAATGTAGCTGGATTTGGGGATGCATAGAGCGCCCGTATTTAAAAATCAACCCTTGAAATCAGGGTGTAAAATCTTCAGAAAACCAACTTCTGATCTGAAAATCGATGGCCCAAGCTAAAGCAAATGTGAAAACTGATGAGTGTTTTAGGTGACCGTAATTTGAAATCCGGAGGGGTTTGTTAAACTTTACTTCGTACGGAGCGCACATACAAACAAAACCTTTGTTCTCTGCTCGGCATATGGTGGAGTGTTTGGAAAGATGCAGTGATTTTTTTCACCGAGACATAGTAACCAAACGTTTTGGTCTAGATAATTTGTATGACATTCTCTTATCTTTTTATTTCTTCCAGTTACACCAACAGCCGTTTCTACCATTACTGGCTTGCCGACTACGACTGTTTTTTCAACGGCTTCTGCAGCATCGTTACCGTCGTTTACGCCTCCCACTAATACCATGAGCGCTCCCTGCAAAGTTTCCCTTCCTGCTAGTACACAGTCGACATCTTTGTCCACTGGTTCTCCTTCAGTTGCTGCTTCAAGTACAACGCAATCCACAATTGCTCCGTCACTAGGTCTGTTCAATTTCAAGACACCACCTGCACTGAGTTCTGGCAGCTTACTGAGTGCAAAGCCTGCGCCATCGTCCGTCACCAACACTTTTACATTTGGTCAAACCGCTGCCCAATCCACTGTTTCAACTACCACCATCTCTACTATTACCTCTACTAACACCACATCGACGTTTAGTTTCGGATTTTCCAGCACACCTTTTGGGTCTAAACCACCTAGTTCTTCAGGCACAAACAATACTACACCCACTTCCATTTTCTCAGCTTCAGATCCGTCGAAGATCACATCAGTAGCGACAATAGTATCATCGACACCGTCGCTATTCTCGTTCACTTCTGCTCCAGCAGCAAGCAAAACAACCAGTAGTGCGACATCTTCGGCCTCGGGGATGTTTGGGGCGACACCTTCACCCCCAGTGTTCAATTTTGGGACTACTTCCCGCCCCAATGCAGCGTTGAATGCCACGACCACAGCGAATAGTAGCAGCGCTGGTGCGACTAGCACGCAGTCCTCTACATTTCCTGGATTTTCATTTGGAACAACGTCCACGACGAAAACAGCACCAAGCGGTGGGATGTTTTCCACCGCCAACACTAATGAAACAAACGCTTCGTCTAATTCGACATCCAATCTGTTTACATTAGGGATGAAGTCGGCTTCATTTTCCAATGGGGTCCCTGGGTCTTCCCAGCCCGGTGGTATTTTGGGCTCATTTGGACAAACTCAATCCACTTTAGCATCGCCGTTTGCACCGAAAGCAGCAGCAGCAACAACAACTGCTGTAACGGCGACTAACAATAATCCAACACCATTCCTGTTTGGTGCTGCAACTACCACGTCATCTCCGCTTACTTTCAGCGCCACTGCCCCTGGCCAATTGTTTTTGTTCGGTTCCAGTTCGTCTAACACCTCGACCAGTATGCCACTTTCTACGTCTGTCACGAGCGCTTCATCGTTCACATTCGGCCAGAAACCTCTGATTGCACCAACGACTGCGACCGCTTCGCTAAACACGGGCTTTCAAGGTTTCGGTGCGCCGTCAACCATTATAACCTCAGCAAACACTACCAAGACAACCAGTTCTGCTCCATTCCAGTTTAGTGCTTCGCCAACTGTACCAAATAGTACTGGATTCAATTTCTCTTCTTCCTTGGGATCTACTGTCAACACTGCTTCCGTACCGTCATTCGGTAACACAGCAGGATTTAATTTCGGACAAGCCCCAAGCTTTAGCACAGCTAGTCCCGGCACCACAAACCCGTTCGCATTCGGGACCACACCACCGCCTGCTCCAGGTGCGGCTAATGCGGTTGCAGTACCTCGGCGAAGACCAGCTTCTGCCCGGCGTACTCGTCGTATGTAACAAACGTGCTGTCCCTCCCCCTTACTCTGTTCCGTGCCCTCTCACCGTAATCATTCTTGTGCTTTCCCCTCACGTGATCCCTCTATTCCTTGTTTACTGTGCTCCACTGATTCGATA